CTGTGGTTTTCAGAATTTCAATTATATGGAGTTGTGTTTGTTGTATGTACGTGCAAGTTCAGATAGTACATATGTTTATGATAAAAGTTTTCACTAGTCATACGCGGGTGTATTCTTCCAGTTGATTATTGGTCTAATGGGTATGTTTGGGTTGTGTAATTTGATCATGACGTGAAGGTTTCGGGGTGCTGGGTTCATGTTTGTATATGTATATGTATATGTTTCCCATATGGTTTCTTTTTGCATGACGTTACATTGCTTTAGTGTTTATTTTATATTTTTGGTAATGTTTCGTTGGGTTGTTGATATGAATTTGTTATCTTGTACGAGGTTGTTTACTTTATGTTCTTATTCCTTTTGAGCGAGTATAACTATTGTGTTTACTTTGCTACTTTTGTTGGTACTTCGTGCTTTATATTTGTTATTAGTTTCCCTTTTTTCTTTCTATTATGTGTGTTATATTTATTTTCCTGGGCGATTCTTATGATTGTTTTGTTACCGCGTGTCCGTAATATTGTTCTGGTATATCCGCATTACTTATTAAGATTTCTGCTTCTAAGCCAAATGTTTGTATCCAGTTTCTGTTTGTAATGCAAATTGTATTTTAAGGTCGAGGGCCCAGCAAGGAAACTGCCAACCGCAACGCAACCACAATTTCCAAGAACTGTTATTAGCCTTGAGTTGAACACATGTAACTGAATGGAGCACCGCATATTGAGGAAACGGCAACGCAGTTTCCTCAAATATCGGTGCTCCATTCAGTAACATGTGCTCAGGTCGAGCCATAGCTCAAGCGGTTAGTCGCTTGCTTCCCACTGCAGCGACCCGGGTTCGATCTCGGGTCTGGTCAAGTGAGATTTGTGGTGGACAAAGTGGCGCTGGCTAGGTTTTATCCGAATACTTCGGTTTCCCCTGCCAATCTTAATTCCACCAATTGGTCCACAATCACACTCACCTATAATCTGGGACTGGTACAATAGGCCAGAAGTGGCCGCAGTACAAGGGACTTAGTCCCACCCCACTAGCAATAAAGAGAAAACACGTTTTCAGTTCAGGCCGATAACAATTCACGGAAATTTCGGTTGCGTTGCGATTGCCAGTTTCCTTGGTGTGACCTCACCCCAATTCTTGGCTTAATAGTTGTACAGGGGATGTACAAAAATAAGGAAACTCCCAACAAAAAACACATTACCTTGACTAACATGGTGTAGGACAACCTCTGGCTTGAAGAACTGCTTGCAGTCTCCTAGGAATGGATAAATACAGGTCCTATATGATTTGCAAGGGAATCTTGTACCATTCTTCCTGAAAAACATGGTAAGTTCTGTTATCGTTGATGGAGGTGGTTAGCGCGCACGCAGATTGCTCTCCAAAACAGACCACAAATGCTCAATAATATTGATAACTGGCGATTGTGGGGGTCATGGCAGATGTGACACTTCATCTTCGTGCTCAGAAAACCAGTCCTGGACGATGTGAGCTGTGTGAACACGGGCATTGTTGTCCTGGTAAATGGCATCACCATTAGGGAACAAAGTTTGCACCATGGGATGGACCTGGTCGCCCAAAATGGTCACATAGTCGTTGGCAGTGACGTGATATTTCAGGGTAATGATGGGTCCGACAGAATACCATGATATGGTTGCCCATACCATGATCGAATCTAGCCATGTTTCACANTGGGTTCCATAAAATGCTGGGAAATTCTTTGAGTAGCTGCAGATTTGGCTTCTCCTCAAGAAGGGCTCGGCTCCATAAATAAGTAAGTACAGGGGTACGGATGGGCATTGCCTGGGCCATTTTTCTATGACTTCAGCATCACACTGTCCTCTTAGTGGCATTTTGATCACTGATGAGTGGCTTTGGAATTGCAGCTTGTCCAGAAATACCCTGCTTGTGGAGTTCCCTTCATACTGTTTTGGAGCTGACAAGGTTTGTGAGCGTGACATTGNGCGTTTATTTCACAACTGCAAATGTGCAACAAATAGCCCTGAATCCACCGGCTACAACGTTAACTGCTTTCTTCGCGTTATGTCAAAATGACGCGTTTGCGAAAACACTGCTGTATTCGGAAGTGCCTACGTATTACACATGGAATGCGAGTAGGAAATCATTTGAACGACGCAAACGAGGAGAGCGAGTAGACGGACAAACTGGCATAGTATACAAGGAAACTGCAATAGGCGTTCGAATTCTGTTAGCTCTGGCGTGCTGCACAAAAAATGCACAGAACACTGTCTCGACAACAAATAAAGCTTGCAACGTATTGCGGAGGTTGTACGGGTAGTGGTGTTTGGCAGATAAGACAGCGTGACCTACAAACGTCGCTAAAATAAACTTCATTNATTGGAGAACGACCGACACTGGGATGTATGCATTACTGACGCGTGCAACACGTCACATCCACATAAAAATTCGTTCATTGTTTGCAATCATACTGACCGCCTGCTCTCCTTCATCTCCAACAGAGTTATGGGAGAAATATAAATCGCACGTGGCTGAAGATATTTTCCGTCGAATACGCCAGGAAAATTGCAATTTGAACATGGATTTCACAGCAGAAATCTACAACGAAGCGTTGATAATGACTGGAGATTTGTGCTTAGAAATCGCGAACAAAGTTCTCAATCTGTTACACCTCAGGGGGAGGGGGGTGAGAAAATATGATTGCTTTATTTTGAATTGTTTCATTTTTGGTCCGTTACACTATCAATCACAAAGT